AACTACAAACTTACCGTCTTTGTGTTGAGGATTTTTACCCCTCATTTGTTGCCTGAAGATAAAACACATCAGGACTTATATCCCTAACCTGATAGGTCTGACATCAGTGTTCTGAAAAAGCTATTCCGTGCAATTATCTGAAAATACAATAGAGAATCATTGTTAGATTCTCTGTCAGTAAGGGAGCAAATGAAATTAAATTCAGCTGGGTTACATGCAGTAACACAGAAAGAATCAACCCACAAGCTAATGCTATTGTTGTGCTCTTGCAAGATCAGAAAGGCAAACTGGATGGGGCAGTAGAGATGAGCAATCAGGTGGACAGAAGAGAAGAGAGGAGGATCAGCAGAACACTTTTGCAGGCAGTTTAAGCAAACTGGCAAACAGGAGGGAGGGTGATTGAGCAGACAACCAGGACATTATGATGGAATAGGACAAAAAAGAGTGGGACAGCCAAGGTACTGAAGAGCAGTGTTGTGTTTTCTCAATCTAATAAATTAATTTGAAGAGCAGCAGCTTTTCCTTGACTTCCTCTGGAAGAGTGGTTCCCAACCTTGGGTCCCCAGATGTTCTTGGGCTACAACTTCCTGAAATCCTAGCCAGTGCAGCTAGTGGTAAAGGCTTCTGGGAGTTTTAGTCCAAGCACATCTGGGGACCCAAAGTTGGGAACCATTGCTGTAGGAGGAAATGAGAGGCTTTCATTAGTTCTTTTCTCCCTGGTGGGAGGTGGGGCTCAGCCTGTGTCTCTGAATGGTCTTAAGGTCCTCCTGCTAACCTTCTAGTAGTGCAGAAGGTAAGTATCTATATCCCCAGTTCCTCTTTTGAAGCTATTTGTAAATGAGCCAAGGCTATGGAAACAGATAAACAAAATATTGTATTGCATATAAATTGTAGATGTGGTTGGTTCCCTCCAACATATTCTGGAACGGTATGTGGAAGTGAAGCCCATTCTTCAAATATACATTTTTCTAATGTGTTATGGAAAAATAAATCTCTAGAGATTGTATGAATCTGAAATGAGTACTTCTGAAAACATAGTTATTGATTCACTCAGATGTCTTTTCTTTCCCACATTGTCCTTCATTCACAGCGCAGGATGTGATTAACCAGCTCAGCCAATTCATTCGTAGGCAGAATGCACTTCTGGTTATGCTTAGAGGAAAATAGTGATTATACAGTTGTCCAGCAAGCTGTTGGATAATCCAGAGACAGCTGTCTTCTTTTTCTCAAGGAATGCTTGTTTGCTTAATATTCCTATTATAGGGTCAAGGTGCTGAATAAAAAAGCAGCAAAATGACTACACACAAGGCTGCAAAATAAGCAATAGTGGCCTTATAAATATGCAACATGGTTATGTCTATTGCCACTTTGTTTATCTGAGGCCTACTCTCTGTTTTTCTCTAGTACCTAAAGCCTAAAAATGAAAATGCAAGGAATTGGCCTGTGAACTCATCTTTTTTTACATTCCTGTTTTTATTTGTGACTATTCTTTAATGATTTCTCTTTTAATTGTATAGTATATCAATTAGGGAAAGTTCCCCTCTTAAAGGCAGCCTAAAAGTACTTGCAAATAAAATGAAATGACATTGAAATGATCTTTGAAGACATGGCTTTTTAGGTAGGCTTTTCCAGAACTGACATCTGAATAATGCGTTGCTTTCTCCAGTGTTTATTTTTGTTCCACCATCTTACCTCTTAATCATTTATGTTTATGTTGATTTTATTTATGGTGCATGTTCCATTTTAGATTTCTTTATGTTTATGTTGATTTTATTTATGGTGTATGTTCCATTTTTGATTTGTGTTTGATTTTGCTTAATTTTGAATTTATATCCACTATTGATAGTTATAATTTGATGACATCTTTATTTTGTGTCTTAATTTTTTGACGGTAAACCACCCAGAGTGGCCTTGTAGCCAGATGGGTGGTATAGAAGTTGAGCAAATGAATGAATGAATGAGTGAATAAATAAATAACATCTAAAATATACCAAAGATATGAGAAAGCAATTTATCATTTCTAATAATGCTGTCCAAAGGCATTGAAAGTGTTTGGTTTGGACTTTCTATACCTCTAAAAATACACATTTAAATACAAGTTTAAACTCTTGTGCTTTTTCTGTTTTCTGTTTACACTCCATGCAATGTCTAGAGAGATTGCTTCTACTTTTCCAAGCGATGATGACTTCAAGTTGTAATATCTTGAAAAACAGGCTATGCTGTGAATTTCCTGTTTACAACTGAAAGACGGAAAGAAAAGAGTGTTTCCATCTCTCTACAGAGATAATATCCATAAAAGCCGCATTAGAGGTACAGAAAGAAATCAGGAATTGTACCAATGCAAATCCATGATAGAAAGCTGGTGCACTCAGAATGTGTTATTTGTAAAATCTAGGTAAATTTTCTCAGAGAAGACAGTGCTCGTGCTCGTGCTCTCTCTCTCTCTCTAAGCTTTTCTCTTCTCTCATTTCCCCACAAATGAGAAGAAGTCAGAATTTGCTTCCTCATTTTCTTGGCAGGATTTTCTGCATTTTTGATGATGTCTCCTGTTCTAGCCCCATCGAAATCAGTGCCTTTGAATAAGCCTAGGTTCAGACCATAGTGAGGGATGAAAATGGTATCCAGATTGCATGTGCAGTTGTTCTTGCTTTCAGCAGCTCCATACAATATACATATATGTACACATACATATACACATACATATAATATACATATATTAACCTCTGCTAATTCTTTCCCTGGAAAAAATTAACAACATAGTCCCACCAAAAAATATAGCAGACAATTTTGAAACACTATTTACACACAGCTTTAGTTGAGCATATTGTATAGCGAATACCATTGCACTTCAGTAAATGTGGCAATCTTCCCTTTGTTGCCCCTATTTATTTGGCCCTCACAAAGGATCACTCCCTTTCACGCTGCCACCAGGTATTCTCCTAATACCAATTTATGTCATACACGTGAGCTGCCAACATTAAGGGCTATAGAATTTAGGAATCAAAGGTTTAATTAAGTATTCTATTATGCCACCAGGTATTCTAAAGGTAAATCACATATGAACTGTTTCGGGTATTAACACGTATTGGATCATGTAGGCAATCACTTTTATTCCAAACTGCTGTATACTTTCAATCCTCTCTCTTGTAGTGCTTATACTTTCATTCCTGCTTGTTCAATATTGTTTAAACTTCTCAATTTCCTCTCCTAACACTCTCAGCTCAATTCACTAACCCTCTCCTTCGTTCTCCTAAACCCTAACTCCAACTGCCATTCCACATCTCCAACTGTCTCTAATTGTTCAACTGTCTGTCTAACACTGCCCCTCCTACCCTATCCTTGGCTCCTCCCCCTTGAGCTTCTGTGATGGACAGGCTGGAATGACGTCACCTTTTGGCATTTCGCTACAGTAAATTACTTAAAACTTCACATAATTGCTAGGAAGAAGGTTTATGCATTGCAAGTACATACAGACAAAAACAATTGGGAAATGATAGATTAGTATAGCAGTATTTATTGTATTTAAATTATCTCCACTCATATGAGCAAGCCCTATTAATAAATTACTGTTGTCTTTCTCCCACCACGTGTAGGTTACTAAGATAAATGAGTTTTGTTTTGTTTTACAAATTAAAATCTTTCCAACATTAGTCTTCACTAATCCACCAAAGAGTGTTTAGGATCTGTCTGAATCTGAGCAAAAAAAAGCCAAGGCTTTACAGAGCTTTGCAGAAGATATGAAATTTGGTGAATGTCCTTCACTCATTGGACAGTTTGGTGAAAGTAGTTGCACCATCCAGTCCGTTTTCACTAAAAAGAAGGGGGTATTGGTAAGAACTTCAGCACCTTCCCTATTGTGGATCTGGCTTTGAAAATCTGGTTTGTGGTCACTAAAATCAAACAAATAGTACTCTCATATCACACTGCACACAGAGAAAGAGTGTTTAAAGAAAACTTCTGTATTCAAAATATTTCCAAACCTTACAAGCTAGACAAAATTTATTGATGGATCCAGATAGTTACAAAGTTCAGCAACATTACTCATTGTCATTTTTGACGACCCTTAAGATCCAAGGTGTATATTCTTCAAGACTGCAATGTTTCCTAAACAAATTGATTTTTTTAAAAAAATTAAATAGACTGAAAGGGTGCTCTCAATCTATCAGTCACTGGTTTATATATGAAACACAAGTTTGTGAAATATGTCACCTCCTTAGGAGACTCTTCCATATTAACAAATTGTACTTATCTCTTAGTAGAGTCTACTCATTCTGTGTCAAAAACTGCATTTACAGATGGAAAACAAAAATCAGCACAGTGAACATTGGAGCTGCAACAACCAATACAACTCCCAAAACTGCTCCAGTCCTTATTTACTGTACCTTTACCAACTCTGAGTTCACTGAAAGGAAGGGTGGACGAAGTGTGGCCCTCCACATTAGCCATACACAAACACACACCCTTTTGGCCCAAGGCCATAAACACAATATGAAAAACATACAGCCCAAATCAGGATTATATAAGTCACATCATGAACCTTATAAGAATTTCTTCCAGTCTGTGACTCCCTTCAACTGTGCCAGGGCACATGGCACCAGTTGAGAGCGGTTGTTCTAAATGTTCTTGGACTGTAACTCTCAGCAGCCCTAGAAAGCATAACTGTTAGTGAGGAATCATCGTCGTCGTCATCTTAGAAGTACAGAGCTGGAAGGGGGCGGGGTCCCTTCATGGATCATCAAATCCAACCCCTGTCAAGAAGGTACAGTGGGGACATGAAACACTCCTGTCAAGGAGGTACAGTGGGGAAATGAAACACCCAACCAGAGACAGCCAGATACCTAAACTACTGAACTGAATGCTGAGAGTTGCGCTCCAGTAACCTGTGGAGTGTCATATTTTGCCCACTTTTAATTTAAATTACTTGGTTTTCAAGTACTTCTGAGGATTTTAGTGGAAGTTTCTAGGAAGTTTAGCATCCATATGAGATTGTGGTATGTCAACATGTTGCAGAATAATGAAACGTGCTTCTTTTCTGGGATACGCTGCTATACTCCAAAGAAATTAAATGGAAATCAGTCTTTTGCAACTAGTTCCCCTAATGAGCAAAAGTCAAGTGCAGTCAAAAAGTCATGAATTAAGATTCCTAGGGGGAAGAAAGAAAATTGGATTGCCACTGAAAACATCCTACAAAGCTAGCAATACACTTCATTTTTTTTGGGAAATCACTATAGAAATACTAGATATGACAGAATAGGATATGATAATTAGTGTTGCTCTATCTTTGGTAAAATGTTAAAAATGTATTGATACAGAAAAATAGTCAAAATAGTACAAGAGGATTACTTTTTACTGAACGTTCTCGAAGAACCACATGGCCTTCAGTCTCATCTCTATGCATACCTGTGAGAATCTTTCAAACTCAAAGAAAACCACTGGGAAGCTCTCTGTCCATAGCCCTGTTCAGGCTTCCCAGAATCCTAAGCCTGTAGCCAAGGAGTGAGCAAAGGGAGGCCCTCCAGATGTCATTGGACTTCAACACCCAGCAGCCCAAGCCAGGATAGCTAATGGTGCAGAATGCTAGGAGCTGTAGTCCATAAAATATATGGAGGCCACAGTTTTTCCATCTCTGATGCAGGTACCAAGGGGAGATGAGGATCCAGCTTGCCCCTTCAGCCTCGAGCTGTCCATTTTGATGGGAAAAAATTACACCACAGCAGCAGCAGTGAGTGGCCAGCATGAGGGCAAGCAACTGCAGGATAAAGCCTCAACTGCAACTATTTTAAAAACCTTCCAGTGAGCAAGTACTGTATATACAACGCAGCTTAAAATGGATTAAAAGTTTTCCCAAGAGGATGCACAAACCAACCCAAATACAATGTGGCTACCATGTGACTTTATCCCAATTTCAAAAATCGTAATCCAACTAGTGTAACCACACTCTAAGTGTAACCATGCTCATAGTCAAGTGACAATTAAAAGATTATCATCAATTAGCCCTCAGGTCCTGTGATCAACAGGATAAATGAGCAGGAACTTTAAATAAGAAGCATATTTAAAGGTTTAAAAGCATCAATGGAAGTTTGCTTAACCCAATCACATCGGTGAGCTGCAGTTACATTTTACAAAAATAAATAAATGTTTTTTTTTTCTAAATAATGCCATTAGTCCTGAAAGAATGTTGTTTTTCTAAATAACATCATTAGGCCTGGAGGAATACATTGGGAGAACACAGAAAATACTGTTTTTACAGTGATCTTCCACAGATTACATTTGTATTCTCAGAAAAGCATAAGTAAGCAAAGGGAGGCAATTCTAGAGAAGAAAAGCTATACATTCAACTGCAGCAGCAGAGTCTTAAAGCATTCCCGGAATAAAGAACCACATTTGCCTGGCACAGCTTGTTTGTTTGCTAAATGGATTGACAAAGCATTTGCTTATTTTGAATTAAGATACCTGCTTTGCATCTTTTTTTTCAACAAGTTCCTTCAAAATACACTTCCCACTCATTACCACGATGCCTTCAGGACAGGAGGGTGCCGGGCCTGTCAATGCAATATTTCTTCTTTCCATGTGGCAGGGAAAAGCATGCTTGACTTCTCATTTACGTACATCTTTGTCATTTGCCTTGCATCTGCTTGAAGGAAATGCTGCGTCAACCTGTAATCTCTGAAAGCTTAAGAATAATGAGGATTTAAAGGATTCTTCTGTGTTTAATGTCCAGTGGAAGGGAAAGAGAGAATTAGAGAATAAGCAGAAAAACTATGAGGGTGGTGTTTTGCGTAAGCTGGTTGTCAGTCTGATTGAATTTGCAAGGAAGAATAGGACATAGTATAAAAATAAAGGCAGACAAATACTGCTAATCAGATATATTTTACAAGTGACTTTTGATTTAAGGAGGCAAGTCTTGTGGCATGCAGGTTTTTTAGTCAGGTAACTCCATATATTTTGCATCTCAACATTTACTCCGATATTGTTGTTGTTTAGTCATTAAGTCCTGTCCAACTCTTTGTGACCCCATGGACCAGAGCATGCCAGCCCCTCCTGTCTTCCACGGCCTCCTAGAGTTTGGTCAAATTCATGTTGGTAGCTTCGATGACACTGTCCATCCATATCTTCTCCTGTCGTCCCCTTCTCCTCTGGCCTTCACACTTTCCCAACATCAGGATCTTTTCCAGGGAGTCTTCTCTTTTCATGAGATGGCCAAAGTATTGGAGCCTCAGCTTCAGGATCTGTCCTTCCAGTGAGCAGTCAGAGTTGAATTTGTTCTCCTTGCAGTCCAGGGGACTCTCAAGAGGCTCCTCCAGCACTACAATCCAAAAGCATCAATTCTTTGGCAGTTAGCCTTCTTTATGGTCCAGCTCTCACTTCCATACATTACTACAGGAAAAAATCATAGCTTTGAGTATTCGGACTTTTGTCGGCAAGGTGATGTCTCTGCTTTTTAAGATGTTGTCTAGGTTTGCCATCACTTTCCTCCCAAGAAGCAGGGGTCTTTTAATT